AGCAATAACCGCCTCCCTGTCCTCCACGCCAGAACGGATTAACAGTAATTACATTGAACCTTATGGGGAAATTTGCTTCAGGTTGCGACCTCTTCGGGTTGCGGCCAGAGTCACGGAACGAATTAAGTTCGTAAACCGAGGTTCCACTGTACTTGTCTTTTTTTCTTCTGAAATGTTCTCTTTAACATCAGGAGGGGGGAAAAAGCTACACTGAAGGATGTTATAACCTGCGTATGTTGTGACTTCAGTTTACTGTTCCTGCAACCTATTTTATGATTGCATGCTTTCTGGTAGTTTCAGGGAAATTTTTATCAGTGAAAAGCTTTGTTTAGTAATGAGAAGAACTATTAATTCCATTTTGAAGAAAGTTGGTGGACAGCAAAATGAATCCCTAGTAACAGAATGGATTTTGGAATATACTGTGTGTAACTATGTCAGTTTTGTATCAGATAAAGTGAGATGTATCACTCCCTACTATAACTCTCTGTTGTTACATGTAAGCTGTCCCTCATGAGTCATAGATCCCTGACAGCCTGAGGTGGTTATGAATATTGCTAGCCCTAAATCAAATGGCACACAAGTAAATAGAAGTACTCAAACACTGAAGACTTAACATTATTCTACTAATTTTCTCCAGTAGTTCAGTACTATTTCAGAACAACAACATTCCTGGATTAACTCTTGAAGTGCTTCTATTTCAATAGCTGCCAAAGATTCCATTTCTATCAGGTTAGAACACAGCCTAACACTTCACTTGTTTCTAACATGGCTATGGACTAGGGAAAATCCAGGGACTTATAGAAGTAATCAAGGATTAATACAATCAGTTTTGTAACTCCTATCTCTTATTCTCTCTCTGAGTGTGTGTGTGTGTGCGCGCGCGCTTCAGGTCAGTATTGACTCTGGAGACTGCTTAGACAAGTCCAAGTCCACAATGGCAAAAAAACATATTAACACTTTTATACAATTGTAATATTATTATTGCTATACCAACAAATTAATATAATCTGTTTACATAAATATATAATACAAATGAAGTTATTTTTATTTTACAGGCTTTTGAATTCATCCTTTTAATCCGTTCCCATTTTAGGACTACAATATTAATTGATTGAAAACAGTTTTTTAATAGAAGAAAAAAAGATAGGTCTTCACAGACTTGTTTAATATTTGAAATCAGAGTTCTCTGATTTCAGAACTACCTTTTTCAAGTGAAGAATTAGTTTTACAGCAAAGGTATTGTCATATGTTCATATATAAATGATGGTCATAGTCCATAATAATGATATATTCCATGCACCCTCTGTAATAAGTCCCTAGTTATGTACTTAATTTCAAACTTAGTCTATAAGGTCTAATTCCAAACCTCATTCCATCAACTTTCCACTGACTCCAGCCAGCTTGAAAATAGCCTCCAAGAGAACAATATCTGAAACTAGTTCGTTCTAGTGACAGCTAAATAGCTAACAACCTATTTCACTCTCCAAGGTCTAGCAGTCACTCTAACCATTAAAAGAAATCTCTGTACAGTTGGCCTACATTATAACCAAGTCCCAAGTTACACAGTGCTTTTAATGAATAAACTCCTGATGATAACATAAATCTTAATATCCTCTAAAGCTAAATAAAAAGTTGCAACTGATACATATACGCTTCATAAGATGGGGTTCTAGAAAGCCTTTTAATCATTCATGGGAGATCGCTACAGCCACAAAATGTCTACAAAGAAAGGAAATGAATATTTCCATTGAGATCTCTAGCTTCATGGGGTTCAGATATAAGTGTGGGAACTACAAACCAGAAAGGACTATTCTTTTCTTTTAAATGTTGGGCAGTGTTCTGTATTCATGATCTCATTGCCCATAAATAACATTAATCAAAGCTAATGAAAATGCAGCAAGAGACTGTTCCATACAGAGGTACTGGCCTATTCAGTCATTGAAGACGTACCCTAAGTCTAGTTAACATCAGTTTCTTGGAAGATATTTATTATTTATATAGGAATCTTGTTGTAGTGTATTTTAATTAATATTTATTCTATTTTAATTAATGTTTATTCTTTTTACTATAAACCGCCCATAGTCGCTCTGACTGAGATGGGTGGTGACAAATTTGAAATATAAATATAAATATAAATAAAATATTATCCCTCATCCTTTATGATGCAAAATTGGTCAGGGTATGTGTCGTTAAGGTCTTTTGCCCCAACAGTTCATTAGCCCCTAGATTTAACACACTGAGGATTTATATCAAGAAAATGGAAAAAATATTTTCTAAACATGGAGCAGAATTCATTCTGAGCAAGCATGATAACAGGATAAAAGATTTGCAGTGCTCAAAATAGCAAGCTTGAAAATTAAAAACTACAGACCTATAGATGATCTAGAGGTTATTGTATATGCGCCTTTGTTTTAAAACACTTTCCAATAAAGAACAACTAAGCCAATAGCTCTTTATTACATTATTTAAATTGTACTGGATGCCTTCTTTCATAGAATATGCGAAGTATCTGCCTTTCAATCAAGCTACTGAAAGGAGAGCAGGGCCCATATGAGCACCTATAGAACATCTAGCGGGGCAAATGATAACACCTACATTATAACTGCCTTATGACATCAGCATATAAATAGGGCAGGTTACACACTTGTGTAAGACCTCAAGATGTCTTTACATAGCTGCATTATTTCTGTGATATTATTTTAATGTCACTGAATAGGGATTCTCTAACTGCCATCTGAATTTCACCAATCCTAACTGATATACTATCGTCTGACTCTCAGCTCGGCACTGTGAAAAAGCAGTTCAGATTGAGGTACAGGTCAGTGTCAAATGGGGAATTGCTTCCTCTAAAGCAGTGCAACATAAAATGGCTGCTAAGAGAAAACAAAAGCTCTACACACATTTTCCGTTTATAATTTTGGCAACTCACTGATGGAACTTCGGAAATAAAAATGCTCACTACTGAGATGAGAGAAATATGAACTTACTCTAGTGGAAAATATATGTTATTGCCTTTCCTTTCAAAAGGGATATAAACTGTGGTCATCTTGATGAGTTTCTCAAAAGTAAGTAAAGTTGAAGTTTTAATTTGAACTAACTTATTATTTAGGTAAAATGCAATATTTAGATTACATTTCTTGCAGCATCTAGAGGTTTCTCCAGTGAAGTTGACCTAAATATTAGTTGATTACTTCATGCTCATGTATATTTAGTAGTTTAGTAAATGTGATTATTTACATTTTCTTTTGAAAATTAACTGCATTATAATGTGACACAAACTACAGAGAAAGATGGCTGTTAGTGTTATTATTTTGTTCTTAAAATGTTTTTGAGAATGAATGATCACAAAATAATACTAAAGTACTGGAAATGCAGGGAAGATTGGAGCAGCATATACTTTTTAGTAAATAAATATGTACGGTACATAGTGTTTGTATTATCCTTACCAAGTATCATAAATCCTGTCCACGAAGTAATCTCAAGACTAATTCAAACATAATTCAGTGCATGATGAATCCAGTCACTGGTGCTTATAAATCATTATAATGTCTTCAATACAATATGGCTAAACATGGTTTAGCATGTATCAAGACTCTATTACTATACTGCCTAAAGTCAACTAGGGATGAGGGAACATTTCTTTCCTCCTTTTTTAGATATCAAAATGTCAAAATTTCCTAAGAAGCACACTGGAAATAATTTAACATTTTTTATAAACCTGAATGTGAGTTTTAGCAAGAATGATAAATTTGTCCACTCAAGGCATAATAATTTAAACACACAATTTTGGATTCCAATGTATCTAATCATATTTTAATAATAAGAAAAGGTTCAAATGCAACCTTGGGAAAAGACATCTGGATTTCTTTTAACAAATAAACAATTACTGAACATTTACCTCCCCAAAACTATGAACTCCCTGAAAAAAATAAACAAACTAATAAGTGACTTCAGTTACACAGTAACTAAGATCAGGAAAACTAGCAATGTAGCATCTGTAAACTAGAAAGCCCTCAAGATACCTCCTAGCTGAGGTTTTACAGAATCTCAACTTTATTTTTTTTTAAATCAAAACATCGAAAATGATTGGAATCTTATAATATGTTGTTATTCTTTTATCAGTAATACACAATAATGAGACATCAGAATGCTGAAATGTTTTGGATAAATATGTTGAGAACAGAACCTTGTAAGATTTTAGCCATTTAAATTTTTTTTCAAAAAGTTTTTGTCCTGTTTCATTAAATGGAGTTTGGTGCCTGAAAAGATTGCTGCCTCCCTACCTAGAAGTTAATTTTCTCTAACAAGTGATTCTCACTGAATCCTCTAAATGATTTTTAAAAAAAAAATAGTTCTGAATACTAAGGAAACATTCAGGAGATATTTAGAATGAATAGCACAATCCTAAGAGTGTTCTACCAATTCTAAGCAGGGCTGTCCTGAGTGGATTGCAAGTGGCTGACAACTATGGCTGAAAAGAGTCAACTGAAGCCATTTTTTTTTTCAGGATAAGATTGGAAAATTAGCAGCTACCATAACTCCAACTTTGACAGAAAAATAAATACTTTCTAGAAAGATATCTATCAAGATGTAGTCCAAAACAATGTATTATGTGTAGAATATCAAGCACTCACCATTCCTGTCAATGGCAAATGGAACATCAGTTGTGACAATTTCATAATTGCATATTTGGCTGTATTGAGGAGAACAATCTTCATCCATGGCTTCTACCTGTAACACACTGTCATAGATCTTTCCTTCTGTCACAGTAGCTTTATAAGATGCTTCTTTAAAAGCAGGTGCAAACTCATTAGCGTCTTTTACTTGGATATGGACCACAGCTCTAAAAAAAAAAAAAAAGACTTATTCCCAATTTCGACTTATTTTCTAAATTCACTATAGCATGGATAGTTGCCTTTTTTACGCTTAAATTTTATAAACAATTGATGCTAAAAATAATACAATATCTATATGAAAGAAAGATGGGTAGAAAATCTAAAGTTTAAAGACCTGCCAATAGTCAATAGAGTTAAAATATGTATTTTAATGAACTACTTGTTCAAAGTAATTCTTGGATTAATTCCACTTCTCACTGCACTTCGGTATTATTTTATTTGATTTTATTTAGGTGTTAAGGATTGCAATATTACTTATTCTGTGATTGCCATATATAATGAATATAACCAACGCTTTCACTGTTCATATTGTTCAATCAAGAACATAGTATTTGTTTTTTTTTCATTTAGAATAAGATTAAAAATTACTAATAATCAAGTACCAATAGTAGAAAATCAGCTTATTTTATGATCTACATTACAAATTACACGAAGAATGAAGGAAAATCAAAATATTCTTTGACATAAAACAAAGTAATAAATTTTTAAATTTCAAAAAGCAATGGATCATTTACTAATGGGGCAAAAGAAAGTATATAGATATTACAACAGGAGACGTGAGTCTGTTTAAGATCTTTGCTACTCCAACTAAATGTACTATTAAAGATACCAATTTGTGTTGGTCAGAGAGCAAGAAAAAGAACTTAACATACAACCCTAGGTTAAAGAATTTTTTTTTCATTTCCTCTAGCAACACTGGTGAATAGAACATTAGAAGGAGCTTTTCAGTCTGAATTGTAAATATACTTCCCACAGCCCACACTCCTGTTTGTCACTCACTTGTGAGATTTCTTCCAGTTTGTTCCACTAGGCCCTATGCCACAGTCATATGCCTGGATGATAAATGTGTACTCCTTCTGCAATTCACAGTCAACTGGAGTTCTTGCTCGAAGCTGACCTTCTCCAGATGTCTTGTTTAGGACTACAGCTTCAAAGGGCATTTCCTGTCCATGGATTTTAAAAGCACAGATTTCACCTATAAGGAATAACAAACAAGAAAAGATCCAGAAAAAATACATGGCCATTGTGCAAGCAGCTTATAACTTTTTGCTTGAAAAACGCTAGATATTTATAACATTCTTATGTTTAAAAGATAATACTGGCAGTTTTCTGAATACAATTATAAAAAAAATGTTACCAACTGACATTAATACACAAAATAAAGCAGCAGTTGAAAAAATGCTGGATATTTAATTTTCTTTATACTTGGTACAAAAGCAGGATCCTATCCTACAGATATCACCGGGATGTTTATTATTGTAAGCATTTTGTTGTTTACTACAAAAAGAAAAAGAAAAAGAAAAAGAAAAAAAGAAAAAGAAAGTATGTGCCATTTGGTGAAATCTGCTGTTTCATAATCCTTTCAAAATGACCATGGAAGAATGATTGTTTTGTAGTTATGAGTCAGAGCAACCTTTATTTTCTGTCTAAAGTATTATTTTTTTCTAGATCTTGAGCCTTTCCTTGCTTAAATAAAATCAAATTCTCTCTCTCTCTCTCTCTCTCTCTCTCT